GCATCTGTTGATTTCCCTATTTCTTCTCCCAGCTTCAGCCACACTCTTTATTATGTAGATACATTTAGTTGTGGGCTCTAAAAGATTCTGTTTTTCTACCTTATTGACCAGCACAACCAAACTGCAGAAACTAAACCAGAAACTTACAATGGTAAGGAGATGGGCTCGGGGGGTGGGTGCTCTGTCCTTCTGGATTTGGCATGATTATGCATATAAATGTTGGAAATTTAAAAAAATAAATTAATTAATTAAAATGTTGGAAAAAAAAATGTTTTCTCCTGGTGATAGCGTAAAACTGAGATATTCTATGACAGGTTTTAGAAGGCATGTGAGACTTTGAAAAGCATTTAAAATTCCTCATTCTACCTATCTTTTGACAGAGGACACTAATCAGGAGACAGGAGGAGGTTTGCCTGGTTTATTTGCATATATTCATATTTAGATATTGTTTTATGAATTACAGAAGGTAATTTGGGTAACGGGCAACACTAGGTGGCAAGTTCAGTTCCCCGGGGTGTTACTCACTTGTCCACGCCCCTCACCGAGTGTGGCAGTCATGTGCACACACTAGGTCAGTTTCCCAGGATACAGCATGTGGGAGGCAAGGTCTTGTTCTCACCCTACATACAGTTGCTGTGCTACTTGGGCAAATCCTTTTACCTATACAGATCATGAAAAGGGGGTGAAATCTTAGCCCTGACTTGGGATTGTTGTAGGAACAAAATGAGACAGAGCATGTGAAATCCCTAGAAGATCACCTGCCATAAAGTCAGCCTGTAATGCACGGTAGGGGTTCTCTTTGGTGCCATCAATAAAGGAACCAGGAACATGGAAATCCACTTCAGGTGCAGGTGTAGGTACAATTGTGTGGGGTAGTGGTGAAGTGTGCTTGTCTTTACCCCAGTGAAAGTGAATTCTTCTTGGAAGGGGAAGCTCCTGAGTTAGGAGCTGAAGGACTGGTAGGCTGAAGGTCACGATGTGTCTAGAGAAGCCAAAGTTGCTTATGTGGTCAGGAGAATGAACCCTGCCAGTTGGGAGAGAGTTGCAGCCCCTGGGGGACTCATGCCCTTGGCTAGAAGAATTTCCACAAAAATTCCTCAGACAGCAGGTTTACAAGTGGCTGAGTCTCTGGCTTTTGTTTGTCTAGAAAAAAGAGTATTTTTGAAATCTCTGTGCCTTTTTCTGTTCAATTTTGCTGTGAACCCAGAACTTCTCTGAGATAAAAGCCACATCTTAAAAGAGGATTTTTGCTTTTATCGTTGATGGATACACTCACTGAGTATAAAATCCAGGCTTGATAATGGGTGGTTTCTTTTCTTTCAGCACTTAAAAATTGTCCTTCTGTTCCTTTGGGGGATACTGTTTCAGCAAGGTGAGAAGTCAGCTGTGTCACCCTATGCGGGGAACTTCAGGGGCTGTAAGAATTCTTTCCATCACTTATTTTCAACAATATGATCATGCTTGGTCTTGATATGGTTCTCTTTGTCTTTATCTTCCTTGGAGAATTTTGAGCTTCTAAGATATATGGGTTTAAGCATTTCACCAAGTTTCCCCCCAAATTGTCCATTATTTCTTCAAATACTTATTCTCTCCTCTCCTGCTGGCACACCAATTACATGTCTGTTAGACCCCTTGATGTCTCCTGGGGCCGGAGGTTCTGTTCATTGTTTTCAGCCCCCTTTCTCTCTCGGCTTCGGTCTGCAGAATTTATACAGTACTGGCTTCAGATCAACCAGCCATTTCTCCCACTATCTAATCCAAAGCTCGCACAGTGGATTTCATCATTTCAGATACTGTGTTTTCATGTCTGGAATTTCCACTCGGGTCATTTCTAGACTCTATTCTCCATTCAGATTTTAAAATGTGTTCCCTCATTATATTTTTATGTTTCTTTAAATGTTTGAACATTTTAATGCAGCTCCTGGGTCTATTTCTATTCACTGTTTTTTATCATGACTATGGGTCCTGTTTTCCTGCTTCTTCACACATCTGCTGATGTCTGGTTTTGTGCCAAACATCATGGATGCAATGTCGTGTGTCTGGGCTTTCTTATTTTCCTTAATAAAATAATGAGTTTCATCCTATTAGGCAGTTAATTTACTTGCTGGGTGAACCTGATTCTTTAAAGACTTGTTTTAAAGTTCTGCTAGAATGGACACGGAGTGACTTTCCTCTAGAAATAGATCAAGCCTACTTTGATGGCATATTGTGGGCTGAATGTTTGTGTAGCCCTAAAAATTCATCTGTTAAGGTCTTGATGCCCAGTATGGTTGTATTTGGGAGGTAATTATGATTAGGTGAGGTCATGAGGATGGAATCCTCATGGCGGGACACCAGAGAACTTATTCTCTCTCTCTCTCTCTCTCTCTCTCCCTCTTTCTCCACCAGGTGAAGGGCCCTCCCCCAAACCAGACCCCGTGGGGAGACTTATGTTGGAGTTCCAGCCTTTAGAAGTATTTAAGGCACCCTGTCTGTGGCATTCTGATGTGGCTGCCCAAGCCAACAGAGACACGACATGGCCTTCTGTGTCCCTGCTGAATGACCAATGTGGCCAACAAGCCTACTTCCCCATGACTGTCAGAGCTCAGATGATTGTTGCCACACTACTTGTATCCCCTCCAAAGAGCATGTTCTTTTCTGGAAGCTTCTGCCGCCTGCTCTTATCTTCATGGGCAGCTAAGTCTTTGCCTAAAATGCCAGATAGACCACCACTCATGTTTCTGGAGCACCCTCTTCTCCGGGACCCTAGCCTGAAAATCCCCTGCCTCCATGGCTTCTAATTCCAGCCTCCATCCCCACAGCCTGGTGAGCCTGCCTGCTCGGTGTGGTTGCCTCACTGGGCTGTGGTCCAGGCAGAGCACAGGGTGACCAAGGGACTCCCGCCCTGCTTCATCCTCTCAGCTGGCTCTGTTGTCAGCATCTGAATATTCTCTGTCCCATAGATCCAGTGACTTAATGCCGGGGAGGGAGAGTCTGGTCCCAGTTTCTCCATCATAGTCAGAAGCAGAGGTCCACACAGGTAATGTCTAAGAAAGTTCCCATTTGTGGATTTCTGTCTTCTCTGTGAACTGATAGAAAATATCACCCCCGGAGTTTGCAGAAGGAGGGAGGGAGGAAGGCACGGGCGTGATGGTGCTCGCAGAGGGGAAGAGAGGCACTGAGGCAGTGGGGGGCCTTAGCATTTGAAGAACAGGTGTCGCGGGAGTACCACAGAAAATGTTAGATGCTTAGCACATGGAACCGAAAGGACATTAGCAAGTCTTCTTTCTGAGTAGAGGCTGAGTTCCAAGTGTGGTCATGGGAGACACGCAGTGACTTGGAGAAGTGATGGATGCTTCTAGAGATGAGGAGGAAATGGAAACCTGGGTGACGTGAATTTGGATGAGCCATTCACTGGAATGCTGAAGTCATCCGGGAGGTCGCTAAGTTGTGGCGTGACGAGGGACACAGTGAGCTCAGTGCTAAAATCCTGAACAGAAGTGACAGGCTGAAGGTCGGGAGATGACAGGAGGGCAGCGGCATCAGAAGTGGTCTACACAGCCTGCATCTCCGAGGAGCGTGGCTTTGCACACACATGGAGACAGTGGGGCACAAGGCAAGCGCCCATCCACCCTGGCCTGAGTCTGGGTGACGGGCATGTGGCCACCCGGCAGGACCACGAGGGTTGTGCTGTGCAAGGCTCCGCATTCGGGGTGGGGGGTCACGGATGTGGGAGACGGTGCGTCCATTATCATGATCTGCCCGCAGCTCCAAGTCACCCGTCTTGAAGGAAGCAGCGTGTGGATGGTGGGGGCCCTGGCTGGGGCCTGAGGGCTGCTCCTGGGAGGAGCACAAGGGAACCGTGTCTGGGAGGCACAGGTTTCTGCAGGCGCCAGGAGGGGTTGCAGGGAGAGACATCAGGGGCTCAGCGTGGATGAAGAGGTTCTGCAGGTCTTCTGGAAGGGTCAGGATGGGGGCAGTGGGAGGAAGCAGGTAGCGGGTCAGGGAGAGGAAGCAGGGTGGGGAGACAGTGGTCGCATGGGGCCCTTTGTCTTGCTGGTGACCAAGGGTGGTGGAGACACAGGATGGGGAAAGTTGACTTTCCAAGGTTTCAAGGAACCCGGTGGCTTCCCAGTGGGTCAGAGACCTGGACTGGAGGGGCTGGAGTGGGTCAGGCAGCAGCTTTCTGGACCCCGAGAACACTGGGTTTTGGATTCTCTGCCTCTCTGGATCCCTGGAGGCTCAACCCGCGATTCACAGATGGGGCCCTTCCTTCGAGGCCTCAGGGGCTCACTGCTCCTCTCAGCCCCAAATCTTCCTTCTTTGTCCCTTGGGGTGCCTCCCTCTCCCCCTGTCCCCTTTCCCTCCATCCCATCCGTGGGATCTTCCCTGGACCGTGGCAACCCTCACATGTGGGCAGGCTTAGGTCTTTAGGAAACACACGGGGCTCCCACGGAGGAAAAACAGAGGCATTTCGGGGGTTGCTGAAAGGAGCTTGTGATTTTTACCCATCAGCCTCAAGCCCATGGAGCCCAGGGGACACAGAAGACCGGAGGCTGGCAGAGGCATCCACACCGACCTTGAAGTATGGTCTTTTCTACGCCGTGGGCTGGCCTGGTCATTTTCTCCAGTAACCTTGGGTCTAATAGTAAAAAAAAAATCATGTGATAACTTCTTACTTTATCAGGAGACATACCTGACTTATCCCTTCCTGGGTGTGACCCTGGTGGGGGGTGCCCAGTGCCAGAGGTGCGTGTGGCCTCTTTTCCACGTTGGCACCCTGGCTTGACCTGGCTCCCGGCCCTGGGGCAACGTGGGAGCCCCTGCCGGAAGCCTTGCCTGCAGGCACGGCCGCTCCGTCTCTGCCCAGTGGCCTATCTCAGCTCCTGTTCCCAACAAAGGACCCGAGGGGTTGGTGCCACAGGGGACAGAGAAAAGCTATTTGCATTTGCTGAGCAAACAGAGAGGACATTATAAAACAGCTGATGGCAGCGGGCGATGCACATTCTGTAGGCGGCCCCGGCGTGCGGCGTGGACATGGGATCTCCAAGCGTCCAGCTCCTGGCCATGCTCCTTGTCCTGGGGCTGTGTGCCCTGGCGGGGGCCCAGAAACCTTGTAAGTGACCTCCCACATGTCCCCCTGTGCAGCCCAGCGTCCTTGACTGGACAACAGAGCATTCGGGCCCATGAGCCGGGAGAAGCTCCAAATGCAATGTGGGTACGCTAGTCCCTTGGCCTTGGTGCGTCTCTGCTCTTGTTTTCCTCAAAGCCACGGGGTGGAATGACGGGCTCACTGGGGTGCAGAAGTAGCTAAAAAGGCATCCCAAGCTCTGCGATGGGGCTGATTGCCCTCGTGCATCCTTCCCTGCCATTGAGGAGGGACTCCCAGGGCTGTGTGAGACCTCCAGAAAGGCCTCCTTCCCAGAAAAGGTCAGGGTGACCACAGGTGCTGGGTGGCCGGCTGGGGAGAGGGGCCGGGGCAGGAGGCCCCCAGGGCATCTGGAACCCACCCTGATTACCTTCCATCTTGACTTTTCTGAGGTCCACGGTCCACCATCTTTCCTGAAGTTTTCTTCTCTTTTTTCTTTTCTTTTCTTTTCTTTTCTTTTCTTTTCTTTTCTTTTCTTTTCTTTTCTTTTCTTTTCTTTTCTTTTCTTTTCTTTTCCTTTCTTTCTTTTCTTTTCTTTTCTTTTCTCTTTTCTTCTCTTCTTTTCTTTTTTTTCTTTTCTCTCTTCTCTTCTTTCTCTTCTTTCTTTCTTCCTTTTCTTTTTTTTAACTAATAATTTCTGCAAAACCCTGTTTGTCCCTCAGGACATTGCATAGTTCAAATCCGGGCGAGATGAGACTTCGTGGTTTCCCCGTGTAGCCGCAGGACCCAGGGAGGGGCCTGAGCGCGCCCCCGAGAGCAGGCAGGGGGCATGTGAGGGGACAGGTTGACAAGGCTCTCTCCGCAGCCCCCTGCCGGTGCTCTCGGATCACAGTGGAAAACAGGAAGAACTGCGGCTTCCCGGGCATCACCCCTGACACGTGCTTCAGCATGGGCTGCTGCTTCGACTCCAAGGTCCCCAATGTCCCCTGGTGTTTCCACCCACTCCCGAAGCAAGGTAACCGGCCAGGGAGCTGCTCCTCTTCCCGCCCCCGCCCCGGCGAGCCAGAAGGGAAGAGACAGCGGCCCCTGGCCCACTGTCCACACCTGGAGCCCCAAGTGTGGTTCAGTTAAGACTTCCGGAACTTTCTTCCGAGAATGAGGTTTACAGCCACGCACGTTCTCTTGGTGGAAGGTCATTCATGCCTAGGTGCGCACAGAAGCAAGTGTGGGTGCGCAGCACACTGTGGGGGTGGGGCTTGGTACCCACGGCCACCAGCGCAGTGGGTCACAGGCTCCCGGGTTCCGAAAGGGGCGAGACAGACAGCTGGCTACTAGGTAGGGCCCTTTCTCTGGTGGAAGCATTGCTGGCTTTCAGGGTGCTCACTGCCCCTTCTCATCAGGGTACGGCGATCACCCATTTTGCAGATGGGAATATCGGGTCCAGAGAGGCGAGCTGAGTTTCCCAAAGCCCCGGAACATGGGGCCTGTGGCATCTGTGCAGATGCACAGGTGACCAGCCCTTAGACGGTCCCTGGGGCTCGTGGTAGAGCAGCCCCTCACGACACAGGGAGGCTGACACCCAGTGGCATCCCCGCGGGTGGGCGGGCAGAGACACCGCTGGTTCTGGAGCTGCCCTCACTGAGAGTCCGAGGTGCTGCTTTCCAGAGTCGGAGCAGTGTGTGATGGAAGTGTCAACCCGGAGGGACTGCGGGTACCCGGGCATCAGCCCCAAGGAATGTGCATCTCGAAAGTGCTGTTTTTCCGACAACATCGTCGACGTGCCCTGGTGTTTCTTCCCTATCCTCGTGGAAGGTAACGTCCTGCAGGACGGCAGCTGAGAGCCTGGGCTGGGGCCCCTGAGCCCATCTCGGGAGAAGGCCGCTCTGAGGGGTTCTCTCCACGGTGACGGCTGCTCTTGGAGGTGCCGTCGTCATTCCCATGGTGGCTTGTGTGACGGCCACAGAGAGCAAGTCACCTTAGGCACATCCCCGGATCCCGGCCCAGCTGGTGGCACTGTCCAAGTGACTGCCAAGCAGCCATGGGTCGTCAGTGCCACTGAATGTCACACGTTGTGCCGGGCGCTGGGGGCAGATGGGGGAACTTCTCCTGTGGGCCTCGCTGGGGACCTGGGAGCATGAGGGACAAGTTCTGCCCACGACGGCCTGCTCAGGGCCACCTCGGGGAGGGGGGGTCTGGTCCTCCCCTCCCCTGTAGCCATAGTGCATCTCCTGACTCTGAGTTGTCAACACCAAGGAAAGCTCCAGCATGTCCCCCAAGATGGGCAGTGTGCCCTTGCCCCTGCCGGACGCTTTCCCTTCCCCGTTTCAGAACATCGGGTGAGCCAAAGAGCTTGGCCTTTGTTTGGACACTTGTGAGCGATTTTTGTGGGACCTAAGGGTCTCTCTGAACAACTGCCAGTTACACCCCTGAGAAGTGCCCCCCCCCAGGAGGGCAGACTCAGGGCCTGTCAGCGCAGACTCCCTCGGCCCCGGACACTGTCACCCACCCGCTGGCATTTCACACTTCTAGATTGCCATTATTAGGAGGAGTCCCTTCCGAGAACCCACCAGGCTCCCCGGGTGTTTGGAAATGAAGATTGCCACCGTGTCTCATGTCTGCAGAGTTCCTGGCTTTCCTTCATCTGCTTTTTATCCTGGTTCAACAGACAGTTTCTTCAAATAAAGAAAACCCTTAAAATCTGCTGAGTTTCCTTTCGGCTTTGTTGACATGGAGGTGGAGAGACGGAGGGAGAGAGGGAGTGTGTGTGTGCGTACAGGTGCGAGTGTGTGAGCGGGGAGGGGAGAACTCATCTAGCAGGTGCGCACCCCTGGAGCAGCGAGAGGGAACGGAGGACCCACGACCACTCCCAACCCAACCATTTGTACAGAAACTCAAACGACTTTGCCCCTGGAAACCTCTCAGAGTAACGCCTGATTTCAGATCGCAGTTATAAAATCGCCTTGCTGTTACCAAATACAGCCCAGACCATGGCTTTTGTGGGACGACAGGCCACCATCCTCGGTCCTCAAAGGGGTGGGGCAGGGTGGGCTCCGACGTTTCCCGTCTTCCACTCGAGAGCAGCTGCGTGGTGCCAAAGTCTGGGCCCAAAGAGAAGGCTGCCACTGCCACCGAGACCAGGCCGGCCTGGGGGAGGGTTTTGGCACTAAAACCTCGGGCAGGCATCTCTGTGGAGGGGTCCTGGCATTCTTCAGTCCAGGGTGGGTGTGCAGGGGAAGGAGCCCACTGGCTCGGCCAAGGGGTGTCCCCATGGCCCACCTGCCATTTTGGAAGTCCAAGGCCTCCCCTTCCAGGGTGGGGAGGGACCAGCGACATTGGCTCTGTGTGTATTGAAGGAAGGACCTGACCCCAGCCCACACCAGCTCTCGGGACACTTGTTTTATGAGTCAAGTCACTGCTGTGTCTTGTCTGGCTTACGGCACACTCATCAGCTCCGGCAAACGAGGGCTCTTGTTGGACTCGGGGCCTCTGACGCAGAACGGATGGCCAGTGGAGCCGGACACCCATGAACTTACTCACCACAGAGCCCCCTGCCCCTCGCCGTGTCGTTCCAAGGGAGCACGGCCGGCCACACCTGAGGCCCACAGCCAGGTCAGGCCCCGTGTTTTGGAAACAGCCTTTGACATGCACCTTCTGGGATGCATGACTCTTCCATCCCGACACCTCTGGATGGAAAATTTGGGGTTCTGCTCCCAGCACTGGTGCCGAGGCCGGCTGGCACGCTGGGTTCAGGGCCAGCTCCTGGCTCGTGCCCTCCTTGGGCATTTTCTGGTCCTCGGCACCACCACCTCCCGCCATCGTCAGGCTGTGGGGGCCCCTTGGCACACATCTCCGGGTGCGGGGACCGGCCATTCTTCCTCAGAGTCCTCTCCTCACATGCCCTCCCCAGTCCCGCTTCCTTGGCAGGTGTCTCCCTGGTGCCGTATGCCCTAGCTTCTGAGCCGACCCTGCGTCTCCCTTCTGATAACCGAGGGCAGCTTCTGGAAGAGCTGCAGTGGCCGTCGCCATGGGCCCCAGAGGGGCTTGGCAGATCTACTTCACGTCAGGTACTGACTCCTGTGGGTTATAGGTCGCTGCGTGCCACCCTAGCATGCCACCCCCTCCTTGAGCTGGGCCACCCGAGGGTCCTCGCTGCCGTGGCAGCCATAGCGGGTGACCTTCACACCCACCCCATCAGAAAAGCCAACCTTCCTTCCTCCTCCTGTGATGGGGTAATTGCCTGGCCTGCTTCCCTTTCCCCCCCGTCTGGTCTCCTCCAGGGGGACCCCGCTGGTGGGGGAACAGGGAGACTGGTGTTGGGGTCTGGCAGCGGTCGCCCCCGACTGGAGCAGGGGCAGCGGAAGGCCAGCTCTGCCCCTCAAGCCCACTGTCCCCGTCTCCTGGATCCCCAAGGTCATGCAGTCCTTGCCTGGCTGGCTCAGGTAGAGAGATGCTCCGAGAAGATTCCTTCCGGAGAGTCTGGGCAGAGGTGACTCTGCTCTCCTGTCCTGAGAGGACTGGGCAGGGACAGGTGAGCATCCCCTTCAGTGTGCAGAGTGGTGCGGCTGCGTCCAGAATGGGGATGGAGCCCAGGACCCCTGCTCACTCGTTACATTCACACGCCACGGACGGTGGCTTCTCTGTGCAAGGCAGCTGTGTTCTGTAACGTCACTGACACTGAATTAGCAAACTCTGAGCCATCGAGACTGGGGGAAAGGCAAGGTCAGGTTCCCGAGCGCCTCCTAACCGAGTTCATCAACGATCAGTACGTGACCTTGCTGGATGTGCGTTTCTGTTTCGAGACCATTTATTTCATATACATTATTGATGCGCTGACATTGGACTCACGGCCAGCAGCACTGTGACCCCTGCCCGGACACAGCTCACGCACACGCGTGCACAGCAGGTCACAGCCTGCTCGCCCTGGGCCACCTGACCCCTCTTCCCCCCCGTGCATGGGAACCATCTAAAACAGTTACATCAACAGAAAGCACAAAAATGGGCATAAAACGAGGTACAAACAGGCCACGAAAAGACGCCTGCCTTCGCTCTGAGAGCTGAAACAAGAAGGCAGAGCCTCCCCTTGTTGGACTCTGGCTGGCAAAGTCCGTGTTACCAATAAATTTTAGCGAGAAAGTGGATTTGCAAATAAGGATCTGTGGATAATGGGGATCGGTCGTATAATCCTCAGACGTATCGCGTGTGTTGTGGAGGTGAGGTGCATACACACAGATACCCCAGCTGTCGTTCTGGGGCCCAGCCCTCCTGTTGACACCCCTCCCTGCCCCCTTTGCCTGAAGAAAGAGAAGGAAAGACCGTGGCACGCTCGCCCCTGGAATCAGGGAGTTGCAAAGAGAGGTTACGAATCCCATCTCCAAAACACAGATGCTACCCTTATGTTCTGGATCATCTCTGATTCGAGCTCACTTCCCAGCTGTGTACGTGGAGCGGTTACTCAGACGTTCTGTGTCTAGTTTACTCATGTGCGAAGTGAGGGTATTAATAGGGTCGTGTTCTTGGAGGTTCGTTGTGAGGATTTGATGAGTTAATTTAGGAGACGAGCCAACAGCAGGGTCAGGCACGTAGCGAGTGCTTGGTGAGAATGTAGCCAGTCCAGGCCTCACCCCCTGGGGAGAGGAAAGTGTCCCCACTGTCTCGGGACACAGTTCTGGGACCCTCCACGATCCCACCTGCTAATGCAGGAAGGCCAGTCCCTGCTGAGGCCCCTGCCCGGTGTCTCCTCCGGTGGCTCTGGCCGGGCTGCGGTCCCAGCAGGCTGTGGTCCCTGTCCCAGGCTGGCACGTTGCTGCTGCCTGTCCTCGGGAAGGGCTTGGCCAGAGGTGTTCCAGTGGAGTGGGAACTTGTCAGCCCATTGTGTCCCCCTTTTCCCAGCCCCGTGTCCCTTGCCCAAGGCTTGTCTGCGTCTGTGTGAACGGCTGTGGGAGGTTTCCAGGACATTCCTGGGGGTTTCCCGAGTCTCCGGGAACCCAGATGGTTTGGGGGCAGAGGAGCCGCCTTGGTGCACGGCACCTGCGAGAGCCTGATCCCCGCTCCAGCCCAGCCAGGCGCCCCAGCCACTCAGACAAGGACGTGCTGATCCCGTGGCTCTGGGACAGGGTCACCAGCTTTCCCGTGGGTGGCCACTCCATACGATTTCCTGTCATTCACAGAGCACGGAACTTCACAAGTACTCAAGCTTCATCTAGCACCGTCAGAAACGTGGCTCCGAGGAGAGGAGGACCCCTGTCGCGCTCGTCCTCCTGGGACCCACGGCTGCTCACACGCCTGTCCTCCAGTGCCCTCTGCTGGCCACGCTGGGAGCGGACTTCCCCAGCCTCCACCGATTGGGCGCGGTGGGTCTCCCGCGGCGGCAGCGAGGGGTGCGGTGTCTGACCATACTTAGCCTCCCGAGGTGGAGAGAGTCATCTCAGTAACTCTTGTAAGTTACTAAACTGATCACATAAGCCAGATGGGGCCAGGTGTATTGACGCGGGCACATGAAGCAGAGATTCTGCATTTAAGGAAGCAGCTTGGCGGATCAGAAAGGCTTTCTTCTGGCTGGAAGACCTGTGGCTTCACTGGCCTTTCCTTTGTGTGCAAATGGAGACGCAGGGAGCTTGGGAGGGAGGGGGTTAGGGGGAGGGAGAGAGGGAAAGAGGAAGTAGAGGGAGCGGTGGGCGGTGGGCGGAGGGAGAGGAAGAGAGGGAGGGGGAGGACAGAGACCAGTCTCTCTTCCTATATGGACACTAATCCTCTTGCGTAAGGAAAGGGTTAAGGTATGCGCAGGGAGAGGAGGAGGCCCCTGGCCTCCATCGGGAATCTTTCTCTTTGGCGGCTACAGTGTATCATAGAAAATGACCAAACTCAAAGAATGAAGTCATTCAGGGGGTTATCAAGAGCCCACGCTCAAACCAAGATGGTACCAGAGACTCAAGACCACAAGCTTCCCGGTCAGTTCTCAATAAAACACCACGCCCGGAAGCCCTCTGTGGCAGCATTCCGGCCCCTCTCACTCCTCGGAGCTTTTTCTTTCCTTTCTGCTCTCGCCTGATCTTCTGCGTCCGTGAGATTTGTTCTTCGACTCCGCGAGACAAGAACCCTGCGATCCAACAACACTCAGATCAGGGTCCTACATTTATGACCTCATTTAAGCTTAATTACATCTGCGGAGCGCCCCTCCCCCCCGTACCATCAATCTGAGGGCCAGGGTTTCAACATACAGATGGGGGGGGGCGGTACAACTCATCACAGCATCCTTGATCAGCTCACTGTCTTTACACTGGTAACACTGATAATAGTAACAATTATATGTTAAAGCTTTTTCTTAAATTAGCCCTGCTGAGGGCACCTGGGCGGCTCAGTGGGTTAAGCCTCTGCCTTCGGCTCAGGTCATGATCCCAGGGTCCTGGGATCGAGCCCCGCATCGGGCTCTCTGCTCAGCAGGGAGCCTGTTTTTCCCTCCTCTCTCTCTGCCTGCCTCTGCCTACTTGTGATCTCTCTCTCTAATAAATGAATGAAGTCTTCAGAAAAAAATTAGCTCTATTGAGGTATAATTTAATATAATATAATTTTCCCATTTTAAGTGAATTGGTTTGTTG